CAGTACCCGGAGGAACAGCAGAAACGCCCCCAGCCAGGGGGCAAGGGAGCCCCACGGGGGAGGAAGCGGCTCAGCGCCCTGCCCCGCGGAAGGGAGGCACCGCCTGTCTCCGGGAGCAGCAGCTGGCTGCCCAGCCCTAGGGAAGTACGTCCCGCGAGTCCAGGCCGCTGCGTGCCTCAGGCGGAGGGGCGCCCCCCGCCGGGGGGACTGCTCCGTGCCTCCCACGGCGCGCGTGTGTGAGGTCGGGGAGAAGGGCCTGGCCTCGGAGTGCGCCTCAGGCTCCGCGCGCACCGCGGCGGCGTTTAGTAGCGCTCCAAGGGATCGGCCAGAGCCGCTATTGCTGAACCGCGGAGGGCTTCGCCCATGGAAAGTTACTGATCGGAGAAGAATGCGGGCACCGGAGGGGGAACCCCCAGACACCCTCCCACCAGGGCTGCCCGCGAGGGGAACCCCCAGACATCCCCCCACCAGGGCTGCCCGCGAGGGGAACCCCCCAAGCAGCCCCCCCACCAGGGCTGCATGTGCAGAATCACCCCCTAGAAACAAACGTCTTCTTACGACTGCATGCTCGGGAAATCCCCTCGTACAAATCCCCCAACAAGAATGCTTGCGGGGGGGGGGGAGGAGAGGGGGCAGGAGGAAGGGCAAAACCACCCCCGAGAAAGAATGCGTGCAAGGAGACCCCCCAAAAGCAACCCCCAATAGGGATGCATGGGGCAGCAGAAGGGGACTCCCCCGACAAGAAGCATTGGGGATCCCACTGAAACACCCGAAAATAGAAAACAGGCGTGAATGGGCCCCCCAACGCAGAGTCGTGCCCCGGCACCAGGCACGGCGGTTCCCTCCCCCCCCCACAAGAATACATGCAGGAGGGGGACGGCAGAAACTGTACCCCTAGCGCCAGGGCTGAACGTGTTGGGGGCCGGCCCCACGCTGCAGGCTCCCCACAAAGCCCCAATCACACCGTTCGAGGAAGAGAAGCCCCCTTAGCCACCAAACCACCCAGCGGGGCAGGGGCTGTTTGCGGGGCGTTCGGCAGTAACACTACATGGTAGGAGAAGCACATGGCCACTTCCAATTACCTGGTCCGCTCCACAGCTGCCCCGATCGCCGCACGAGCCCCAGAAAAGCTTCCGCGGGGGGGGAAAATAACCTTCCCCGAAGCAAACCTCCCATTCGATTACCGCGAGCGAAGACCCCAACCGGGTAATAAATATTCACATGATGATGCCGCCAGCAGGTCTCTGCCGCGGCAGCCCAGGCCACACAGGTAGCTGCAGCAGCTGCTCTTCCTCGACTCTGCTGCTGCCCTCAGCTCGCATCCTCCTGCAGCAGCCTGGCAGCACCTTCCTGCCAAGGGATCTTTAAGTCAGAACCAGAGCGGCTTCGGCCTCCCACCCCCTGCCTAGGAAAGGGAGGGGGGGAAAAGGCGACTCAAAGTCCCGTGTTCACCAGGCTGCAGCTGATCAAAGCCCTGCAGGCTGCACCACGCAGCTGCCCCGTGTGCGGGGCTTGTAAACCAGCCCTCCACGCCGCCCGCTGCTGCTGCTTCTCTAGCCTCTCGGATCCTGCTCACTCTGAGAACAGCGGCGGCAGCACAGCTCGCAAACCTCCCCCCCTCAACTTTTTTTTCCCCTTGCTTTCCCACGCTGGCTGAATGTGACTTGACCCCGTTTCAAAAAAGTTTGACATAGTGCTTTAACATTTCCGCATTCCTCCCCGACTACAAAGGCTGCAGCCGCCTCCTTCTGCTTTCTGTCTCTGCTCTCTGTCTTCACACTCAATGAAATCCTTCATGTGCCTCTGCCAAAGGCAGCCACATACCGCAAGGGTCGCCGCTAGCGCAACTGCCAGAGGCATGCACCCCAGGGGGGGGAGAGAGAGACATCATTAGGGAGCAAAAACCTTAAGGTGATTCTTATTTGCACTGAGGCAGCGCCAAAGGACCCCTGGTCATAACTGGGGCACTGTTGTGCTAGGTGCTGTATAAACATAATTATTTATATTGTAGGAGCCCCCAAAGGCCTGATTCAGAGGTAGGGCCCCATATGCAAGAGCAATGCAAACACCTAATAATAAATATTACTACTTAGGCTTTTAGTGCTTTTCAGTCAGAGATCTCAAAGGAAGCATGGTCCCGGCAAGAAGATCTTTATTATTATTTGCTAAGCAATCACAATGTGTTTGACCTTGACAAGACAAAAACCAAGAGCAGTCTCTGCCCCAAAAAGCTTCCAGTGGGATGGGGAAATGAACACTTTGCAGGGCACTTCACTGCTGCAGGGAACACTTTATACAAAGTTGATTCCTACAAATACTGAAATTCACTGCAGAAGAATGTACAAAACAGATGCCAAACTACTCTCAGTAGGGGAAAACACATCTGGAATTCTTGATCCTCATTCCCTCCCAACTGATCCATTCCACCAAATTCTTCTCAGAACCTCAAGGACAATTATGGAATTCAGAAACTCATCAGAGTCAGTTCATTTGATGCTTAAACTAGCTGGGACCGGAGATCTCCCACTTATTTTTGGAGGTGGAGGATGGGCTAGCTGGAATGGACGAAAAGGGTACAAAGCATAATTAAATTCATGGAGTACAGAAATCATTCTGTGCTGAAGTTTTTGCATCATACACAGTGTTATGTAATAACGTCTTTATGTGCTGAAAATAACTCAGAACATATGGTTTTATGTACATAATATTATATAATTAAAAGACTTCCGCACAGAAAGACATGCACAGAATTATTTTTTAAACAAACTTGACATGTCCTCTCAGCTGTCAGCTGAAATCAAGTTGGAGGTGCTGGTTCTATCACGCATTCTGAAAACTATGGCAGATAAACTTCAAGGCTCCATCCCTGTTTCTGACCAGTTTAGAAGCATCACTTGGACTGGGGCTACCGAGAAAAAAATTGAGCATCCCTGACTTCATTTGGGAGGAGAAATGGAAGTTTGTGCCAAAAAACTGAGACTCTTTAGCAAATAAAATTTTATGTGCTGTGCACTAGAGTTTTCAGACGTCCGTGCATACATTGCAAGATCTACAGAAACCAAATTTGTGCTCCTAATATACCTTATTTGATTAATAAAAATAGAAATTCCCCAAATGTTTTGTTAAATTAATGTTAAGCTTGTTAAAGCAAGTGACAAACATTGTTAGAAAAACATATACCCCAAAAGTTAGTTAGAAACCTCAAAACTTTAGCATATGTAAATAAAATAATCTAAATATTCAAATGTGTATATTAATACTTTTTCTAAAAAAATCTAGACATGAATATTGACATTACATTACATCTGTATGCACATTACCTTGGCTTATCATTTCCATATTTGTTAATGTTCAGAGCTTTTGAACTGTAACATTCTTGGTTCCCCCCTCTACTTTAACAACCTTGGTCCAGATTCATATACATAGGGCATAAACTACATCTCTGGGTGCAACAGTATTCACTTTTGAGGAAGGACAGGAAGCAGTATTTGCTGCTTGCCCTACTTAGAGGATTTCACATGGGAAAGGTTGCTTTAAATTCCAGCTGGGTCTTTCCTGGAACCCTATTGATGGAGGCTGCCTGTGAGAGGCATTGAATCAGTTACATGTACAACTTCATATTCAGCACGTGCAATGTGGGAGGGATAACATTGCTATTAAGCCCTTATGTTTTCCATTTCCATTGCAACTTTTGTGTTCAAACTTGCAGCTTTAACATTTCACCATTACTAAATTTTGCACATCACAAAACCCATCCTTAAAGCATTCTCTATACAAACACTTATTAGAGAATATATTTGATTGTTCAGTGTAGTATAAATGTTTTCTCTGCATGAATCTGTGATGGTTCAATACTAATAAGTGGTGAAACCATGAATAACTTATGCTACTCATTCTACCAAATAGATTCCAATAAACCATCTATACCATACTACCCAGTTATGTATTTGCTACATTCTACATGATTTTATAGGATTTTAGGAATCTTTCAGAGAGTTTTAAAAGTGCTATGGGGTACTTTTTAATTTTTTTTCTGTGTGTGTCTTTCCACCTGTAAGGCCAGCTGCTTGAGTTACCTTGAACCCTGCTGTGCAGGGTTCAGATGATTCCTACAGACCTCTAAAATGAGCTAATAGCTTTTCTGTACCTAAAAATTAAGTGATTTCAGGCAGAATTTCAAAATATACTTCGGTATAAACATCCAATTAAAAATGGGTGATACTACAAAACAAGTTGCAGCACAGAAAGCAACAGTTTGTCCAAATTTGCAAAATTATTTGATTGTTTAAATCTTAAATAGATTTTAAAGTAATAAAGTTGTTTCATATAACATGCTTTGTAAAAAAAATTATAAATCAGCAAAACTGAACATATTGCCAGATATAAAAATAATCCTGTTTAGTTTTTTTTGCTTTTGAAAATATTTCTAAAATATCTGCTGTCCCCTTTTCATGAGACATTTTACATTTCAGTATTTCTGATTTATAGTATTCTCATTTTGTCCCTTAACATCAGGAGGCTTTGTAATCCATATAACAATACATTTCATATTGCCTTTTTAGTTTAAAATCTCTTCATTAATCTATATATTTAAAAAAAATCTGCATCCATTTTTGGCCACTGGTGTTGTGAAAGTCCATTAAATATTGCTGCTAAAAATAAATTCAAAGTAAAAGTAGTTGCTAATTCTACACAAATTATTACGAAAATATTTGTTGTACTGAAAAATTAGTTCTTGGGGGTGCTCCTAAAAAGGAAGGAGAGATAGATAAAGCTTTCTCTGCATTTCACTTTCCTTTTAACCCATCAATTTTTAATTTGTGAAACCCTATTTCAGAATTCTGTTTAGCTCCGAACACTAATAAAGAAAACCAATTTATATGGAAAGATATTTAAATGAGTGCAATTTTCCTGTATTTTATTGGTATTCAATATACATTAAAATATAATTAAATCACCTTAAAACTAAGACATCAAAATTATATATGCTGCTTTAGGGACTACAAAACACATTCATAAATGAGGTCTCTAAGGTTTTGCTGGAAACAATAAGATGATGGTGTGACAATAGGTGACAAATAATTACTGGAATTAACATGCTTTTACAGCAGTTTACAGTATTTGAATAATCTGGCATCATGCAGTACCACAGAAGTGCTATGAATAGTTTAAGACTCAGAAAGAAAGCTATATTTGTTTGCTTAGTGTTTTAACTGTTTCAGGAAACTGCTTAAGTTTTGTTGGGGATTCCAGAATTTGGTGTTACAAAAAGTCCTCATACAAATCAGAGTGAAACTTACTCTTCAAAAGTACATATTTGAATAGAGGGTTTTGGAGGATAAGGCACTCTGTGTATACTGTTTTCATTCTGATTTATCTTTGTTTAGCCTGCATCATCTATCTTAGCTGATATGGTGTGGTTTTTGTTCATTTCGTTAGGCATTCCTAGTTAGAAAATCCCTTACATAGTTGAGAAACTAACTATTATTTGGCCAGAGTAGTCACAAATCAATTGAGTTGGTACAACAGATTGTGTTTATTTGTAGAATCCCCTGGTAGTTAGATTTTATAATATTTTAGCACAAATTGTAAAATCATGATCAAAATAACCTTTAGCAAGTGTAAAAAGGTTTTGTAAATAAAACACCTACAGTTTATAATTATTACATACCAAGATATCCCCTAAAATAAGTACTTCATTTATCACAGATTATGTTGAACTCACATAATAAATTCTTAATTTAATAGTAACTGCATTATACATTTGTGTGGGAAATAGAACAAATAGATAACACTTTTAAATAAAGTGCAGACATAATAAAGAAAAAAATGTGTTTTTTGGACAAAATCTACCACTGAGATTTGATAAAAGTATTAAATTATTTTAAATAATTATATGATCAGTATGCACATTCTTAATTAGTTAACCAGAACACACAAAACAATCTCTAATCCATATTTTCAGAAAAAACACACTTGGTTGTAAAAATATCCACAGAATGTTTTAATTAGTTCACATGTAATAGTGAAATACTGTTCTAATCGATGTAAAATGTACATAACCACTGTATAATTGGCAATGATTAAGGTAACTTAAGCCAATTACAGAATGATTCCGTTTAGCTTATTTTTCTTTCAATCAGAGCCTCTGTTTATTGTTGATAATTTTGTGTTTGACAAATTGTATCTTTCCATTACTCCAGAAATAAACTCTACTGTGGGACTATTGTTTTTTTCTAGCAGAAAGCACCACAATATGATGCTATGCTATTCAATGCACACATTTTTCCATATTTCCTTGTATATGCTTTAGTAATTACAAATCCTAAGAGTTGCCAGTAAACATGCCATGTGAAAAGCAAGTTAACAAATAAATCCTTGCCTGCATGCTTGCGCTAATAAAATTC